TCCTGGACCAGCAAGATTATAAATTCACTTATGTTGATCCTGGACCAGCAAGATTATAAATTCACTTATGTTGATCCTGGACCATCAAGAATAAAATTCACTAATGTTGATCCTGGACCATCAAGATTATAAATTCACTTATGTTGATCCTGGACCATCAAGAATAAAATTAACCAATGTTGATCCTGGACCATCAAGATTATAAATTCACTAATGGTGATCCTGGACCATCAAGAATAAAGTTCACTTATGTTGATCCTGGACCATCAATAATAAAATTCACTAATGTTGATCCTGGACCATCAAGATTACAAATTTATTAATGTCGATCCTGGACCATCAAGATTAAAATTCATTTATGTCGATCCTGGACCATCAAGATTAAAATTCACTAATGATGATCCTGGACCAAGAAGATTATAAATTAATTAATGTTGATCCTGGACCATCAAGATTATAAATTCACTAATGGTGATCCTGGACCATCAAGATTAAAATTCACTAATGGTGATCCTGGACCATCAAGATTAAAATTCACTAATGTTGATCCTGGACCATCAAGATTAAAATTTACTTATGTTGATCCTGGACCATCAAGATTAAAATTCACTTATGTTGATCCTGGACCATCAAGAATAAAATTTACTTATGTTGATCCTGGACCTTCAAGATTATAAATTTACTTATGTTGATCCTGGACCATCAAGATTAAAATTTACTTATGTTGATCCTGGACCATCAAGATTAAAATTCACTTATGTTGATCCTGGACCATCAAGATTAAAATTCACTTATGTTGATCCTGGACCATCAAGATTATAAATTTACTTATGTTGATTCTGGACCATCAAGAATAAAATTCACACATGTTGATCCTGGACCATCAAGATTAAAATTAACTAATGTTAATCCTGGACCATCAAGATTAAAATTAATTTATGTTGATCCTGGATTATCAAGTTTAAAATTAATTAATGTTGATCCTGGACCATCAAGATTAAAATTCGCTAATGTTGATCCTGGACCATCAAGATTAAAATTCACTAATGGTGATCCTGGACCATCAAGATTATAAATTCACTCATGTTGATCCTGGACCATCAAGATTAAAATTCACTTATGTTGATCCTGGACCATCAAGAATAAAATTCACTATTGTTGATCCTGGACCATCAAGATAAAAATTCACTTATGTTGATCCTGGACCATCAAGTTTAAAATTAATTAATGTTGATCCTGGACCAGCAAGATTAAAATTCACTTATGTTGATCCTGGATCATCAAGTTTAAAATTAATTAATGTTGATCCTGGACCATCAAGATTAAAATTCACTCATGTTGATCCTGGACCATCAAAAATAAAATTTACTTATGTTGATCCTGGACCATCAAGAATAAAATTCACTAATGTTGATCCTGGACCATCAAGAATAAAATTCACTAATGTTGATCCTGGACCATCAAGATTAAAATTCACTAATGTTGATCCTGGACCATCAAGATTAATATTCACTTATGTTGATCCTGGACCATCAAGAATAAAATTTACTTATGTTGATCCTGGACCATCAAGATTAAAATTCACTGATATTGATCCTAGACCAGGAAGATTATAAATTAATTAATGTTGATCCTGGAACATCAAGAATAAAATTCACTCATGTTGATCCTGGACCATCAAGAATATAAATTCACTCATGTTGATCCTGGACCATCAAGATTAAAATTTACTTATGGTGATCCTGGACCATCAAGATAAAAATTCACTGATGCTGATCCTGGACCATCAAGAATAAAATTCACTTCTGTTGATCCAGGACCATCAAGACTAAAATTCACTTATGTTGATCCTGGACCATCAAGAATAAAATTTACTTATGTTGATCCTGGACCATCAAGATTATAAATTCACTAATGTTGATCCTGGAGACCATCAAGATTATAAATTTACTAATGTTGATTCTGGACCATCAAGAATAAAATTCACTATTGTTGATCCTGGACCATCAAGATTAAAATTCACTAATGTTGATCCTGGACCATCAAGAATAAAATTCACTTTTGTTGATCCTGGACCATCAAGATTATAAATTCACTAATGGTGATCCTGGACCATCAAGATTAAAATTCACTAATGGTGATCCTGGACCATCAAGATTATAAATTCACTTATGTTGATCCTGGACCATCAAGATTATAAATTCACTAATGGTGATCCTGGACCAGCAAGATTATAAATTCACTTATGTTGATCCTGGACCAGCAAGATTATAAATTCACTTATGTTGATCCTGGACCATCAAGAATAAAATTCACTAATGTTGATCCTGGACCATCAAGATTATAAATTCACTTATGTTGATCCTGGACCATCAAGAATAAAATTAACCAATGTTGATCCTGGACCATCAAGATTATAAATTCACTAATGGTGATCCTGGACCATCAAGAATAAAGTTCACTTATGTTGATCCTGGACCATCAATAATAAAATTCACTAATGTTGATCCTGGACCATCAAGATTACAAATTTATTAATGTCGATCCTGGACCATCAAGATTAAAATTCATTTATGTCGATCCTGGACCATCAAGATTAAAATTCACTAATGATGATCCTGGACCAAGAAGATTATAAATTAATTAATGTTGATCCTGGACCATCAAGATTATAAATTCACTAATGGTGATCCTGGACCATCAAGATTAAAATTCACTAATGGTGATCCTGGACCATCAAGATTAAAATTCACTAATGGTGATCCTGGACCATCAAGATTAAAATTCACTAATGTTGATCCTGGACCATCAAGAATAAAATTAACCAATGTTGATCCTGGACCATCAAGATTAAAGTTCACTTATGTTGATCTTGGACCATCAAGATTAAAGTTCACTTATGTTGATCCTTGACCATCAAGAATAAAATTAATCAATGTTCATCCTGGACCATCAAGATTATAAATTTATTAATGTTGATCCTGGATCATCAAGATTAAAGTTCACTTCTGTTGATCCAGGACCATCAAGATTAAAATTCACTAATGGTGATCCTGGACCATCAAGATTAAAATTCACTAATGTTGATCCTGGACCATCAAGAATAAAATTCACTAATGTTGATCCTGGACCATCAAGAATAAAATTCACTAATGGTGATCCTGGACCATCAAGATTAAAATTCACTAATGTTTATCCTGGACCATCAAGACTAAAATTCACTAATGTTGATCCTGGACCATCAAGAATAAAATTCACTAATGTTGATCCTGGACCATCAAGATTATAAATACACTTATGTTGATCCTGGACCACCAAGATTAAAATTCACTTATGTTGATTTTGGACCATCAAGATTAAAATTAACTGATTTTGATCCTGGACCATCAAGATTAAAATTCACTGATGTTGATCCTGGATCATCAAGAATAAAATTTACTAATGTTGATCCTGGACCATCAAGATTAAAATGCACTAATGTTGATCCTGGACCATCAAGAATAAAATTCACTTCTGTTTATCCTGGACCATCAAGAATATAAATTCACTAATGTTGATCCTGGACCATCAAGATTAAAATTTACTTATGTTGATCCTGGACCATCAAGATTAAAATTCATTTATGTTGATCCTGGACCATCAAGATTAAAATTCACTGATGTTGATCCTGGACCATCAAGAATAAAATTCACTTCTGTTGATCCAGGACCATCAAGACTAAAATTCACTTATGTTGATCCTGGACCATCAAGAATAAAATTTACTTATGTTGATCCTGGACCTTCAAGATTATAAATTTACTTATGTTGATCCTGGACCATCAAGATTAAAATTTACTTATGTTGATCCTGGACCATTAAGAATAAAATTTACTTATGTTGATTCTGGACCATCAAGATTAAAATTCACTTATGTTGATCCTGGACCATCAAGATTATAAATTTACTTATGTTGATTCTGGACCATCAAGAATAAAATTCACACATGTTGATCCTGGACCATCAAGATTAAAATTAACTTATGTTGATCCTAGACCAGGAAGATTATAAATTAATTAATGTTGATCCTGGAACATCAAGAATAAAATTCACTCATGTTGATCCTGGACCATCAAGATTATAAATTCTCTTATGTTGATCCTGGACCAGCAAGATTAAAATTCACTACTGCTGATCCTGGATCATCAAGATTATAAATTCATTAATGATGATCCTGGATCATCATAAAGGTTAGTGAAAAGGTAGTTTATAATTATATTTAAAGTTGCTATGGCACATTTGCTATTGCAATAATGAGTGCAGCTCCATTGGATTGTGGTGTTCGTCGATGTATGGATTTGTATAACTAATCAATGAGTCAATGATTCAGTGATCCGTCCATGAAAAGTGTCACTTAATTCATTAATCAGTAAATCAGATAAGGAAATGAATGAGTTGGATGTATTATTCACTAACAAATCCATGATTGCCCACCATCTAGTCACTAGTTTGATTTGTTTTAATTTGTAATTATTAAATTACTTAAAATTCTATCCTCACACCTCGCGTGGGTTTCCTTCGGGTGCTCCTGTTTCCCTCACAGTCCAAAGACATGCGGTACAGGTGAATTGGGTAGGCTAAATTGTCCGTAGTGTATGAGTGTGAATGAATGTGTGTGGATGTTTCTCAGTGACGGGTTGTGGCTGGAAGGGCATCCGCTGTGTAAAATCGTGCTGGATAAGTTGGCAGTTCATCCGGCTTTGGCGATCCCCAGATTAATAAAGGGACTAAGCCAAAAAGAAAATGAATGAGTGAATAATCACATAGGATTGTTATACATGTTAATGCACTGATGCCACCTGTGAAGCTTAAATATATATATATATATATACATATATAAATATATATATATATATATATATATATATATATATATATATATATATATATATATATATATATATATATATATATATATATATATATATATATATATATATATATATATATATATATATATAAATGCAGTGCAAACAGGAGATTTGTCTTATTTTTCAAATTAATTTGTTTTGTTTTAATTGAACTTATTTGACTAAGTACCTAAATAAAATTCATATTATTGAAATGTTTGGTAACACTTTAAAATATGGTTATATTATTTTATGCATAAACAATAGATAATAAATTTATTACAGTATTTGGTCATGTTAGTTAACATTAGTAATGAAAATGCATGAAAGTATTGTTCATACGTAGTTCATGTTAGTAAATGCATTAATTAATGAACCTTATTGTCTGTTTTATTGTAACTGTTTAATTCATACAAAAATAACAATAAAAATAAGTCAAATGTTTTTTTAAATAATACTGTTAATCATATTATTTATCATTTTTAAATATTATATTAATATAATTATAAAGTACATTTCATACACAATGGTAATTCAAAGGGCTTTACATAAACAGGAATAAATGAAACACGAAAATTAAAAATGATTAAAATTTGTTCAAACAGATTAAAATGTGTTTAAACAGGTTTTAAAATTAGAAAGACGTAATAGTGTGGATAATCTGTCGGACATAGCACAGTGCTCATTCAGTAAAGGCACAACTAAACAGAGTGTTTTCAGTTTTGATTTGAATGTGCCTAATGTTGGAGCACATCTGGGCGTGGAAGATGAAGGCGAATTCACCCTGCTTTGTCTAAATTGCTAGGTTATATGGTCCTACTGATCTGAGTGATCAGTTAAGTTTGTATTCAATGAGCATATCTGTAATGTTGTGAGGTTCTAGGCCATTTAGTGATTTAAAGACAGTTAGTAATACTTTAAAATCTATTCTGAATGTAACTGGGAGCCAGTGTAAAGACCTGAGGACAGGTGTGATGTGCTCTGGTTTTCTGGTTTTGGTCAGAATCCTGTCAGCAGCGTTCTGGATGAGCTGTAACTGTCTGACTGTCTTTTTGGGAAGGCCAGTGAGGAGTCCATTACAGTAATCCACTCTGCTGCTGATAAAAGCATGAACAAGTTTCTCTAAGTCTTCACTGGAAACAAAGGATCTAATTCTTGCAATGTTTCTGAGATGATAGTAAAAAATTAAATAAAAATGCTTCAACAAAAAAAAAAAATCTTCTCTGTGGTTGAGTGTATAAAGGGGAGTTTTATGATCTTCAAACTAATTAAAGGAAACAAGTCAACACAATTTACATACAAAAGAAGCCAACAAGACAATTCTGAACTGACAGCCTGTAAAACTATACTGTGGGCTTTCGAGAAAATCAGGAATGGTTAGAGAACATTGTGCTTTTTATTTTTGTTAACCAGTTGTTTACAGTTAAAAAGTAGCAATGTACACTAACCAAGAAAAAACATTTTAATATCAGGTGTAAAATGGACGTGAGAGTAATTATGAGTGCTGGGTTTAGTACAAAAACTACAGTAGTACTAAATGTCAGTGTGTTTGATCCACAGGCACTGGAATGATGGTCCAGAACAGCTCAGGCAATTGGAGGACCCCTTGCTGGTCTCTTCTGCTTTTCACTGCGCTCGCTCTCATTGGCTCATCAGGACTGTGATGTGGGCATTTCTTCTGAACGCCACAAAAGATGCAGCAGGTTTTCCTCAGAAGGGCAGGGGGCAGGGTGGGGGGTTCGGGGGTTTTCCTGAGGAATGCAATGTAAGGAGTGGAAGATTCTTTTGTATAAAAATGCTTTTTTACAAGAATGACTGGTCGATGTGGGAGACTTTTTGATTGTGTTATAATTTTAGACGCTTGCCTTATGAAAACTGAAACGTGACAATGGTCATGTCAACATTCGGTTGTAGTTTCTAAAATTCAACAATAACAACATCTCTGTTTGGTGTATAAACTCATGGATGTATTGTTGACATTTCCAAACTCTTTTTTTAAAAACAACTTCATTGCAGCAAGTGGACTGCAAAACGATCCGATTGAATGTTTACGTTTTTTATTTAATACTTTAGTTTTTCGTTTGTAGTTGTTTGGGTGCCGAGGAAGCAAGAGCGGATCATGAATTTTCTTAACATTGTTTTGTATTGTTGTTGAATGACTGTCGCAGTATTCTAGTTTTGACAGGTGACAGGTGAAGCTCAGATTTGTTTAGTTATTAAAGTGGGCTTGCCAAAGTTATCGCTTCGTTATCTCACTCATTATTATTGCCTTTATTCGTTGCCTTTTTTCTCAACGATTACATAAAAATGACGTCCATAGGTTGATTCTTTCTTTCTTTCTTAGCACATTACAAGAGCGAAACACTGGACATTGAACAAGACCGACGATAACACTCATGGACAAACATGTTAATAATTATCCTATAATATTATCTTTTATTGTAAGGTATTGTTTTCCTCCAAGGACTGAATGGTGATTGTGAAGTGAATGGCTCAATCTTTTGGAGGCTGCCTCTTATGATGGAAACATAATCATACTTCGGGTGACAAAGGCCATTTGGCTTAATGAATTAGAATACACGTGTTTTGATTATGTGACCTTAGACTGATTTGAGGGTCCTGGGGTCGAGTGTTTGGCAGTTCCTGACTGTTTGTGACCCCTGGTCTAAAATCCACAACTATATGTTTGAAGACATTTGTTTTTTAAAAACCTATATATTTTATTGTATTTATTTTTTTTAAGTTTTATTTTTATTTTTTATATTTTATCTGAAATTTATTTTCCAAATATTTCTTGACATTTTGACTTGCAGTACTGTGGCATTACCTATGAAAGTACAAACGGTGTAGAAGGTCAAATCTGGCAGTATTCAAGTTATTGTCCAGATGCTGAATCTCATTTAGATCAAGAAGGTCAGATTTTCACTTAATTTAATTAGTGCCTATTCAACTGCTTTTCTTTAATATTCTAACATCTTTTCTATTTAACGTTTGTATTTAATGTATTTAATTTTTCTATTTAACATCTACTTGTGTCTGTAAATATATTCATTTTCTGTGTACGAGGAGTGCTTGACTGTTTGAGCTAATTAGTTATTTTAAATACACTACCTGACAAAAGTTGTGTCACCTATCCAAGTTTTAGAAAAAACAAATAATAACTCAACTTCTAGTTTATTATTTGGCATCAGAAGTGGTTTAAATGAAAGGCAAAGACCTCTAGATTACTCTTATTTTACCTAAATAAAATATGATCATGACTTGATTTTTAAATTATTTAATTAGGACAGTAAAGTCTGACTTTGCTTAGACAAAAGTCTTGTCACTTAACAGAAATAATGTACAGTATAGAATATAAAGTCATGCTGCAGTGGAAAAAGAATGAATATTGTGTTTGACTCCCATGAGCTTGGACAACAGCATTCATACATCTCTGCAATGACTCAAATAACTTATTAAAGTCATCTGGAATGGCAAAGACAGCATTCTTGCAGGACTCCCAAAGTTCATCAAGATTCTCTGGATTCATCTTCAATGCCTTCTTCATCTTACCCCAGAGATGCTCAATAATGTTCATGTCTGGTGACTGGGCTGGCCAATCCTGGAGCACCTTGACCTTTTTTGCTTTCAGGAACTTTGATGTGGAGGCTGAAGTATGAGAAAGAGCGTTATCCTGCTGAAGAATCTGCCCTCTCCTGTGGTTTGTAATGTAATGGGCAGCACAAATGTCTTGATACCTCAGGCTGTTGACGTTACCATCCACTCTGCAGATCTCTCGCACGCCCCCATACTGAAAGTAACCCCAAACCATGTTTTTTCCTTAACCAAATGTGACTGATTTCTTTGAGAATCTTGGGTCCATGCAGGTTCCAATAGGTCTTCTGCAGTATTTGTGATGATTGGGAGGCAGTTCAACAGATGATTCATCTGCAAATTCTGCCACTTTTCCAAAAATCAACTAGAAGTCAAGTTATGAATTCTTACTTTTACAACCGTGATCGACGACAAGACTTTTGTCAGGTAGTGTCAGGTAATGTTCTTGATCACTTTCTTTACCATTATGTCAAGTAATGTCCATGAGATTTTTACTGTAAATTACAATTCCTAATCACTCAGTGGCATTTTAAACCATTTTAGCAAAAAGCTGCACACAACAGCATCATCTGTAGCTTTATAGTGGTTCTAGTCTCAAACCCAGTAGCAAAAAAAAATACACTTTTTAAATGTATTAAAGTCACATTAGGACTACAAAACCCTAAAACTAGTGTCCTCTTGTTCTTTGTAGTTGTGTTGAATCACACTATGAGATCACCATGTATTTTCCCCCTCAATACTTTATGTAGTTTGCCCTCTTGTGTTCAATCAGGGCTTCACACACAACTCATCATTTTATAGCCGCTACACAACTTTTCCAAACGGACTGTATGTGCGCTTATGTGAGTCGAATGGCACGCTAGTTTCACTCTGAAGGTCACTCAGGTTGTGATGTCAAGTTGTCTGTTTGATCTACCGTGTACCCCAGTTGTTGTAAAGGTTGAGCCTGTCCAGTGTGGACTGAATGTGAATAATGCAGCACTTGTAAATATTCTTCAGTAATAAAACATTTTGACCGTATTTGAAGACACTGTGTTTTTAGTCGCTTCTATGTTGCACACCTACATGTATGGTTGACTAATGACATGTCTGTAATGCAGACAAGATGATAAATGATGCTTTGTGTCCAGGATGTAGATGATACCACATTTGACAGATCTAAACTCATTTATGGGTCTTAAAAAAGACTAAAATTAAAATTAGCTTAGTGGTTAACACTTTTGCCTCACAGTAAGAAGGTCGCTGGTTCGAGTCCTGTCTGGGCCAGTTGGCATTTTTGTGTGGAGTTTGCATGTTCTCGCTTTTTTCATGTGGGTTTCCTCCAGGTGCTCCGGTTCTTTCCACAAGACATGTGGTACAGGTGAATTGAATAAACTAAATTGGCCGTAGTGTATGTGTGTAAATGAGTTTGTATGGATGTTTCCCAGTACTGGGTATCAGCTAGAAGGGCATCCGCTATGTAAAGCATATGCTGGATAAGTTGGCGGTTCAAAAGGACTAAGCCAAATTGAATAAGGCTAATAATTTTAATAATAAGGTAAAATTTGGTAGGCATAGCTGTTTCTTGGTGTACTCAAAAAAAAAAAAAAAAAAAAAAAAAAAAAAAAAAAAAAAGATTGTTAACTGAAAGCTTGTAATTTTATTTAAATTGCCAGTTTTTTATTTATTTATTTTTGTTGTCCGATTTATTAGAATCAATGAAATTCTGTTCAAATTGTGTACTGGTTGGCACTAATAGTCTAATGTTTAGGAGTTCAGATGGTGTTCACTGTGACACCAGTTCAATTCCCGGCTCCAGGTTGTTTGGTGATCCTTTGCCTTTCTCTGATCTCAATGCTTTGCTGTTTCTAACCTCCACTATCATATCCCAAAAAAGTGAAAAAACCCTAAAATAATTATTGAAAACAATGGACTATTAGATTTAATCAGAAAAAAAATGATGTTCTAACTCTAGGTTTAACCTAGGATTCAGGAGGAACAATGCAGTTATCTTCCAGGCCGTGTTACACTAGACCAGCTCTCACCAGAGTGCTCGAGGGTTCATGGGAAGTTGCTCAACCAGTCCACATGTGTTTTGTGTCCCTTGTGGCATTCTGTGGAGGGTGCTCTGGGAGTATGGGGTCAGAGGCGCTCTGTTGAAGGCTGTTTCGCCACTCTATGAACAGAGTAGAAGTTTGGTTTGCATTGCCGGCAATAAGTCAAACCAGTGCATATTGGACTCTGGCAGGGCTGCCCTTTGTCACCAATTTTGATCATAATTTTTATAGTTAGAATTTCAAAGCGCAGCAGGGGTCCGGTTCGGGGACCACAGGATCTCATCTCTGTTATTAGCAAATGATGTTGTTCTGTTGGCTTCATCGAACATGGACCTTCAGCATGCACTGGGGTGGTTTGCTGCCGAGTTTAATGCGGCTGCGATGAGAATCAGCACCTCCCAAGTCCGAGGCCATGGTGATCCACTAGAAAATGGTGATTTGCCATCTCCAGGTTGGAGGACAGTCCTTACCCCAGGAAGAGGAGTTCTAGTATTTGGGGGTTTTGTTCACAAGTGATCGGACTATACAATATCATCTGCAATATCATCACTATGCAAATACACTTTTCCCAAGAACACATAATATTTTATTCTTAATTTAATTATAGTTGTTCTAACAATTGAATCATAGGCACTGGAATCAGAATGTGAAAATGTATACATCCTAAATAAATCATAATAAATGTTAAGAAAATCAGCTAAAATGTTGCTAAAATAGTTTTTAGGTAGGGGCGATATATATTGCATCACTAAAAAAATGATTGAGGTCATGTGTCCATGGATTATTGTGACTGGCCTATGTGGCGCACATTTTTACCTTTTTTAACGTTTGGGTTACAAGTCCAGCTCTACAACCATTTGGTCACAACCGCCTACGCTTAGAATGAATCCAATAAAATAATCTGATTAGAAATAATGATTAGCCAGTCTGTAATACCAAGCAGCAAAATGAGCTCTTTTGTACGGCTTGAATTAAGGCAGATGTTTTATTGGATTAGAGCAGATGTTTTAATTGTGCGCAAACACTTATGTTAACAATTGCAAATATTTGTTTACAAATAACCAACATTAGTTCTGTTTCCATCACAGCATTTTGTAGCAGTTAAACACTGTGAGGTAACCTGTAGCTAAGTGTTGAAGAATAAAAAAGGAAGTATGTAATAGCTTGACATTCAAAATTGCACTGTGGATTAAAAATATTGATTCATTTTTTTTAAAGTGCACATTACCCCTTGCTAGCATTTTAAAATTTAGATATTAGTTCAAAATAGTTGTGAAAACTATTACTCCTTTTACTGTTTATTTCCTTATGGACCAAAAGAAAATGTGTCCACCCCAATATCTATACATACATCGCAATGCCATGGTGTACTAACAATTAAACCTGTGTGTAAACATGCACAGGTTTCTGGATGCCTGTGCCAAGTTAACTTGCTAGTATTTCATTAATATTAGTGTTCTGCCATTTTGCAGTACTAGTATACATGAAACAAATCTGATGATGTATTATTATTTTTATGTAATTGAGGGATTACAGCCCTGACTATTAGCCTATAATGTCATAACACCCACAAAGATAATATCACCTTACCGTAATATGCCCGTTTTATGACTTGTTATTAATTTTATTGCCCAGTTCTGATGAAGTTAGCCCTTATCAGCTGTACTTTGGAACTATTAATAATGTATAAGTATACATGATCGAGAAGGGGCTTTCACCAAACTGGCCATTCTCAGTGCAGCTGACACAGGTAAAAAGGGGACACCTTAACTCCTTTCCTTTCATTAGTTTCTTTATTAATATTGTTCATACGCACAAATCAATTGACTTTGTTTTGTTTGGATTTCAGCTCACTTTATTTCTCAAGCATACTGGTTTGGATCAGGATCAAAATGACTAAGTTGACTATATTAGCAGGTATATTGTTGCATATTCAGTTTTCTTAAATTATATTTGTTATTTAAACACATTTTTAATTATAATTGAATATGTTTTATGCATAATTCTTGTTTTTCTTTTTTCTTTTTTGCATAGGACTGGGCATCTTGCTGTCATTACAGATTGGTAAGAACCTTTTCATTACTATAAAATAATAAATGTTTCTACATGAGCTTTTTAACAAGATCCTAATTGTTTTTGACAGTGTCCTCCACAAAACTGGTGTGCTACATGACCAACTGGTCCCAGTACAGACCTGGAAATGGGAAGTTCTTGCCAGAAAACATCGACCCATTCCTCTGCACTCATGTGGTTTACGCTCTGGCAACCATCAGCTATGATAATCAGATCACCACCATTGAATGGAATGATGTCGATCTGTACAAGTCAATGAACGAGCTCAAGAAAGTGTAAGCAAATGCTGTTTCTACAGTATAGTGCTATACTCGAGCCATAAACAATGGTTAATGTTTACACACGTCTTGGGTTGAAAGATTGAACCAATTTATTGTTGTTTTTACATTTGTTATTCATATATTTGTATACTTTTGGTTTATTTAAATTTTGTATATTTTTTATAGAAATCCTGCACTGAAGACACAGCTGTCGGTTGGAGGATTGGTCAATGGTGTCAGTCCGTAAGTAGAACAATTAGCACCATTATTGTAGTATTAAATATTTATTTATTTATTTATTTGTATTTAGTTAGTTAGTTAGTTAGTTAGTTAGTTAGTTAGTTAGTTAGTTAGTTAGTTAGTTAGTTAGTTTTCAATTTAAATTCAAATTCTAGTTTATTTTTTAATTTACTTTTTATTTTATTTAATAATGTTTAAACATTTTGTGATCATTTGTTCATATATACAAACAAATACAGTATATACAAATGCACACTTATTTAAGCAATTAATGGTCATAAAAATACACTTGTGGCTTTATTTACATAAATATGAATAATTAAAAATATATATATTTCAACTATAAATTAAAAATATTTATTTAAATTAGTGCTGTCAAATGATTTATCACATCTAGAATAAAAAGTTTGTATTTATATAATCTATACATATGTACTGTGTATATTTATTTATGTATATATTTACATATATATTTATGCTAATATATAGTTGGTAATATATATCAATATTTTTATCTAAAAAAGTGCGCACAAATATATTTTGTAAATATGAACTTTCATTTCTGGTGCAATAAATCACAATTAATCATTTGACAGCACTCATTTATATGTTAAAGTTATGTAAATAAATTAGTTAGTAAATGAAACCACTCGATTTAACCTGATGCCTACACCAGAATGTGACAATGACTTATAGTATGGTATTAATAATTGTTCCTATTTTTTATGTTGTGTTAATCATGCAGCAATATGATAATTCTCCAGTTTTTAAAATGCTCTTCAAACTTAAATCCCAAGCTGCTGACAAGAATTAATGAAACACATCACATGTGCTCACTGTATGCCTCTCTTTGCACTTCAGATACATTAACATGGTGGCGACTCCAGAAAACCGCAAAGCTTTCATCCGCAATGCATTATTGTTCCTGCGGCTCCATGAGTTTGACGGCATGGACATTGACTGGCAGTATCCTGGTCATAATGGAAGTCCACCACAGGACAAGCAGAGGCTGACTACATTCATCAAGGTGAAGAAAATATGATGCACATTTACTTCCAGCTATAATGCATATGAATTCAACTCCACTGAACTTGTGTTTACTGTGGGATCTTTCTCAGGAAATGAGAGATGCAATTGAACAAGAGGCCATCGACACAAAGAAAACTCCTCTGCTTCTCTCCATCAAAGTGTCCGCCATCAAAACCACTATCGAAAATGCTTACGAGGCCAAAGAGGTTGCAAGGTAAGTTCACGCATATGGAAATCTGATTGATGCAAATCACATATTTTACATACAAAATCATGTCTGGATTTCACAGATATTAAAAAAAATGAACATTTAAAAATAATAATTAAAAAAAAAAAAATGAAAGCTAATCATTTTGACCTCAACTGTGCATATTTGCAACATATATTTCAAAATATTGCAAAAATGGCCATTAGCATATATTTATGTTTATGTATATTATTATGTATTATATATTTATGTATATTATGTACATTTAAAATTACAAATTTATGTAGAAAATATTATCTATATATGTGCATACACTCACCGGCCATTTTATTAGGTACACCTAACTAGAACCAGGTTCAACCCCCTTTTGCCTTCAGAACAGCCTTAATCCTTTGTGGCATAGATTCAAGAAGATACTGGAAATATTCCTGAGAGATTTTGGTCCATATTGACATGGTAGCATAACGAATGGTTATTAGAGTTACTGTTGCCTTTCTATGAGCTTGAACCAGTCTGGCCATTCTCCTCTGACCTCTGGTATCAACAAGGCATTTTCTCTTTTTCAGATCATTCTCTGTAAACTCTAGAGATAGTGTGTGTGAAAAATCCTAGTAGATCAGCAGTTTCTGAAATACTCAAACCAGCCTGTCTGGCACCAATAACCATGCCACGTTCAAAGTCACTCAAATCACCTTTCTTCCCCATTCTGATGCTCAATTTGAACTGCAGCAGATCATCTTGATCATGTTTGCATGCCTGAATGAATTGTGTTGCTGCCATGTGTTAGGCTGATTAGAAATTTGCGTTAACAAGCAATTGTACCTTATAAAGTGACTGGTTTGGGTTTATTTGGCCATATGTCAACAAGCAATTGGACCTAATAAAGTGGCCGGTTAGTGTATCTGGCCATATATCAACAAGCAATTGTACCTAATAAAGTGGCCGTTTAGTGTATCTGGCCATATATCAAAACTTAATATAGCAGAATTACTGTGTGTGTGTCTATGTGTCTATATTAAACTTTTTTCTTTTTTATTATAGTTTGGTGGACTTTGTGACCATCATGTCTTATGACTATCATGGCCACTGGGACCCCATAACAGGACACAACAGCCCTCTTTTCCGTAGCTCCTTTGACACCGGAAGCATTGTTCACCACAATATCGTAAGATCTAAACTCATATATTTCAAATCCATCAATTTAGAGCATCATTTTTAATCTGAGATTAATTTGTTTCCTTCGTCAGAATTCATCTTTGGAATTCTGGCTTGGCAGTGGAGCTCCTGCTGACAGGCTGCTGCTGGGTTTACCTACATATGGACGCACATTCATGCTCTCTACTTCACAAACTGGTCTCGGGGCTCCAGCCAATGGTCCCGCTGATGCCGGCCCCTACACACGCGAAGCAGGCTTCTGGTCCTATTATGAGGTTTTAATATCATGCTTTTTCATATAAAACAAGCACTCACAGTAAGATTTGTTTCAGAAACCAGGTCTTATGTCACTAATTGGTGAACTAAAATTTTACAAAAATAGCTTTTAAGTGTTTATACAAACAATACCATTAATAAATTTGAAATAATTATAATTTTTATATTTATATAAAGTATATTAAAACAGAAAACAGTTATGTGCTGTATTGGCTTCTTAAAATTGGCCTATGAATTAAAAATAAATATAGAATAATTGATAAAATAAATGTAACATTTACATAAATATATGTATATTTAAAAATGTACAGTAAAATGGAAAGTAATTAGTTTAATAATTATTATACGTATGTTAAATGACAATAATATTTCACAATATGTATATTTTTATAAGTTTTTATGCTCAGTAAGGCTGCAAATTACAACTAACATGAAAGTAAAAACTGTAATATTGTGAAATTATATTATAATATATTTAAAGGTGTTGTATGTAAGTTCTTGACTCTTCTAAAGCATAAAATGCCGTATGTTTGCAGACTGAAGAAACATGAAATGAAAGTGAACATGCTAGTTTATCTAGAAAATAATGCTAATATCAGTTATTCTCTATTGAAATTGTGTGTTCCGTGTTGAAATGTCTGTCTTTGGTCTGTGAAACTCAGTTTACCCTACTATATTTCAGCACCCTGGGTTGCCTTGGCAGAAAACCCAGCATATTTGATTTTAGTCTTGAAGGCAGCCTCAACGGGTGCAGCCAAAAATGTGAGCACTAAATGAAAGTAGCAGCTCCTGGAATGAGATACACATGCAGAGTAATAAAAATCTGCATGGGGTGTTTTTTTTTTCAATACAAATATCACTAACTTAAACTTTAGATTAGCAGCTTATAGTGTAAAGCAGTGGAGTCCAAACTCAGAGTTTAGCTCCAACTCTAATCATATCTCAACCAGCTAATCAAGCTTTAACTAGATATACTTGAAATTTCCTGGCTGATGTGTTGAAGCAAGTTGTAGTTAAACTCAGCACGACATAGGTCCTTTAGAACCAAGTTTGGACACCTCTGGTGTAAGGCTTGATCTTCAAACTCAGACAACACACTCGCTCCTGTTGTCAATCTTGCAATGTATTATTTTGAATTTGGACTGCAATGCCAAGTTCCACCACTAGGTGTCAGTCCTACTGATCTTTACTGCGCCCTCAACTACTGCTCTATAACATTTACACTGATAAATCAGTAGGTGGCAGCAAGTGATGGTCTTGGGTGACTGTCTCATTCATCATTCACTCAAAAGATTCATTCTGAAACAAAATAAGCAATTTCCCTTTGTTACTGTTTCACTGAATCATTAGCTCGATTGTTTGTTCAAAAATGCAGATTTATCCAAGAACACCATTTCTAAAGTTTTTTTGCTCTCAGCAGCCAGTAATTTATCAAGTAATTTATGTTTTGTTTGATCCACAGATTTGCCCCATGGAATCAAGCGTCCCCATTCATTGGATTGATGAACAGATGGTGCCCTATGCAGTTCAAGGACGAGCTTGGGTTGGATTTGACAACCAAGAAAGCATTACCGCTAAGGTAAAATCAGCCCCTGTTTTTCAACAGTGACAGGTTTGACCAACAACATCTCTCACAAAACTGGTCTTGTATTTCCTTTAACAGGTGCAGTGGCTTAACTCCTTAAAACTGGGCGGAGCCTCAGTGTGGACCTTAGATTTTGACGATTTTGCTGGCCGCTTCTGTTACAACGGAGCTTACCCTCTTGTCAACCATCTGCGCAACTCACTGGGTAAACAAGTCACCATTAAACTGCAGAACAGCAGCATATAATTCTGTTATATGCTTCATAGTAATACTGAATCTCTCGTCACAGGTTTCCCACCCAAGCCCACCACTACACCACGTCCCACCACGACCGCTGACCCCATCAACTCTTTCTGTGTGGGTAAACCAGACGGCCTGTACCCACACCCTACTGATGCCAGCAAATACTTCCACTGTTTCCGTGGAAACACATACCTGCAGCAATGCCAACCTGGTCTGGTCTTTGTTGACGCTTGTAAATGTTGTGATTGGCCTTGAATGTAAGTCAATACAGCAGTCCAGACTTCAACTATGATGTATCACCTTGTCTTCCATCTATCCAAGCTCATCATCTGAAAGAAACACAATAATAATGATAATAAAAGTGACTAATTTTTATGCATAGCAGTATGGAGTTCTTTGTAAAGTACTGGTTATATATTCACTCTCATCTAGTTTTCCTCTTGTTGTGCAGCAAAACTATGTCCTCTTTTTTTCTTTCACTTTAAATAAAGATATTTATGACAATCTGACTTAAAGTGGTCATCTGTAAATAATATATAAAAAGAAAAAAAGGCTTATATATATGAACAGATTCATGAACATTTCACTCATAATTAATTTTTTAAGACAGGATAGATTGATTCCCAGAGATGGGTTGCGGCTGAAAGGGCATCCGCTGCGTAAAAACTTGCTGGATAAGTTGGCGGTTCATTCCGCTGTGGCGACGGCGGATTAATAAAGGGACTAAGCCGACAGGAAAATGAATGAATGAAAGGATAGATTGAAGGGGATAAAAGGCGTTTTACGTCACTCAACAATGATGTTTGCTGTTTGTTATAACTATTTTAAAATGAGCTTTAACAACACAATTCTTGAGTTTTAGCAGTGAATCCACCTAACCTATCCACTTGAATGAGTAAAAACTAAGCTAATTTAATTCCTTTATGTTGTCCGAATACGGAAGCCAGCATTTTTTACAGTGATGTTTACCGTGCACCCATCAAGCCACATATTAAGGGGTTTCTATGAAAATCAGCTTGATTTATGAGAACAGATTAATGAGCATTTGCTATGTGAACTGCAGGGGTATCATTTACAGTAAACTGTGTCCTACTCTGATTAATAAAGTCATATTGTTCCCTCTGACATAATAACTGTATGCTAGACAAATTGGCTTGAAAAGGACAGTTATAAAATTACCCTGGCCACGTCATAAAATACAGACTGTTCTGATAATGTTACACAAGCACAAGGACCTAGATTTCTTTATTCTTATATTACAGTCGAGCTAATAAACTATCTGAAGAAATCTGGGACACTTTGTTTTGGCTAGATTAGATAGATTTGTTTAAACTGTAAATGTGCACGTTCGCACATGAATTAGTATTTATATATATTATATATCAGTAAATACTCATTCAGCTAAGGTATAGAAGAGTTACTAAGGAATAAACATTTTATTTTTAAAAGGATGCATACAAAGTTAGCTGTGCATTAGGGTAACATTTAATATTGATGTCAATGAAATAAATGTCTAATTGAAGTTAATATGCTGTTTTTGAAAGGATTATGCATTTATTTAAGTAAAAACTGTAATATTGTAAAATATTATTTTGATTTACATTGTTTTTACCTTATTTTTATTTCTTCACCTTAAATGTCACCCCACATTATATGTATATCATTGTGACACTTTAGTTTAAGTACCACTTAGCAACTGCTATTCCCTCCCTGCTTAAGATTATTAGTAAGAAATATTAGTACTTAATAGTATGATCTCATTCTACACCCTACACCTACCAAATACCTAAACCCAACTATACTAACTATTAATAAGCAGCAGAATAATAGTTTAGTGAGCTTAAAGTCTTAGTTAATGACCTAAATAGCAAGAATTTATTCTTAAAACAAAGTTTGACCCATTTTATATATAGTTTTTCAAGATAAGTTTAGATTTAGAATTTTTGTTTGTTATTTTTTATTGAAAACTTACTAATAAACAACCCACATGTAGAAAAGTGACGAGGGATTCATATTTTGTTTATTTATTTAGCAGCAAATACTTCAGTTGCCATAAATAGGACAGCCTTTTTGCAACATCTTAAATGTATTTGATATTTTTGATCAATGCATTATTGTTTATTTGGAAGTACTTTCTCCATGCATTATTTTACTTTAAACCTTTACAGTAAATTGAATATGAAAATGACAATTTTGCAATGTAAAATTGAAGTATTCTACATAGTTATGTACATTATAGTCTTTTGACAATAAAGCTTTTCATATCTTCTATCCTTCCTTTTTTCACACTGAAGTCATCGCTTGGCAATGTTCCAGTGATAAGATATGAGCAATACATTACTGAAATTCTCTTTCAACATCTCCACAACTTATTTCTTATTACAAACATCATTCCATATATTTATTCTTTACTATATGAGTTTTTTAACATTACTATGAAATGAAGGTTCTTCAGGATGATGACAAAACTGTTTGATGATAAGCAGGGTTTAACTGCCTACTGTTTGGTTTCGGTCTCCAAAACATCAGGAGAATATTGCACCGATTCTGGAGTGATAACCTTCAAAGCACCAAACTGATTATTACATGGTTCAGATAGCACAACAAGCTTATATAACACAATTGCAACTGTAAAGATAAATTTCTTATATAAGACTAATATTTGGAGAAGAAAATTAACCCCATAAAAGTTTGATTTGCAAATTGCACGGAATCCTTTCATTTAGATATCTAATCACAATAGAAATAATGATGACCGTTTTAATTACAGTCTTCATATCCAATAAGAAGTCAACAATCTTTACATATTATTTTATCTCTTTATTGTCTATATTGAGTGTTTTCAATTATAGTGTGGTTATTCACTTTTATGTTTATTGCATATTGTCATTTCCTCATTATATTTTCTGAATTAAATGATATGACGGTTTATCTGGGCCAGTGTTATTTTACACTGTTAAAAAAATGGAACATTTATGATTAAAACAAAAACTGCAGTTGGAGAGCTACCATGTTTTATTAATTTCTATTGTTAATACCACAATGTTTTGAAATGTTGACATTAAATGTGTCTTTGTAATTTTGTGTGCTTATGTATTTTAAATATGCCTATATATTTGATATTTTATAAACTGTAATTGCTGTTATTTGCTCAATTCTGATTGATTGACAGATATTTTTCTGGAAACAGTAAAAAAACATCTTTGCTGCTTGTTTAATCTAATTATTTAAAATAAGTTGAATTAACACAATTCTTGAGTATTTTGTGGACATCTTGTTCAGTCCACTTAAATTTGTAAAAATAATTAATTTAACTTAATTAATTTGTGAACCTTGCATTTTTACAGGGTATTTATTATCACCAAGTTTAAATTCTTTTAGTTTAGTACTTTAGATTAAAGTAAATGAAAACAACAAATGTTTTATATATTATATTTCAGCAAACATCTGTTTTATATGAAAATTTAGTTTGATTATTTTTGATTATTTTTTTATAGTTAACTACGGTAACCCTGATTTGACCTCAGGACTATACACATTTTTATGCAGAGGTTACAGGATCTTGTACTAAATTCATATCAGTGTACCAGACATTTTTTTTCATCTTATCAAAGATTTTAGTTTCACACTGTGGGCCAAAGGTATTTCAGTTCCACATGTTATTGTCCATTTTAAGTCCATAGTTTACAGTTGATACCATATCTCTGTCCTAATAAATCATTCCATATGGCCTAGAGACAACTCCCAATTGCTATAAAAACCCAAGGGTCCTAACGTTTCTCTTTACATTTTGCTTGCTTGAGGTACCCCAGGTATGTCTGACTGAAATTCAGCCTTCATTTGTATGCCTGCTATTAGTTTACATGTATTAACTATTCTTCGTTTCTCACAGAGAAACTGGAAATAATTATGGGGAGACTCACACTTGTAGCAGGTAAGATGCTGATATAATATACACTATACGCTAGTATGATTTATTCCTATTGATCATTTATCATTAATCAATTTCTTTGCTTTTAATAGGTTTGGGCTTGGTGCTCTGCCACCTTGGTAAGTCATTAAGTATTTATTGCCTCAACAGTATTATCATACTATTAATTGCTGATGTGTTGAAATTGGAAAGATGTCATTCTCCATGTGAAAATGTATAGCTAATGATTTTTTGTGTGTGTTTCTATAACCAGCCTTTTCCATGGAAATGGGCTGCTACTTCACCAACTGGTCCCAGTACAGGCCTGGGATTGGAAAGTACACTCCTGCAAATGTCGACCCTTTCCTTTGCACACATCTTTTCTATGCTTTCGCCATGATCAACCATGCCAATGAGCTTATCACATATGAGTGGAACGATGAGACTCTTTACAAGGCCTTCAATGAGCTCAAAAACACGTATGTATTTGTTAAAGCCTCACCCTCTCAGATACTTTACAATACACACAAAACCATTCATTCCTAATTGTGCCTCATTTACATGGGCTACCATATAATATACTATATTTTCAATTAAAAATGGTGATATTATTGTACTGTCATTTACTTTTCTGTCGCAAAATAGAAAAAAAAAACATTAAAATGATGCTTCATGTTAGAATTTGCGCTCTGCTTTTGTGGACCGTAAACCCTGTCTACTTTAACTTGCTTGGCAGTTTCAAACATTTTGGCATTGAATAATGTGTAATAAATGTAATATTAAATACTTTAATATAGGGAACGTTTGATTCTGATACTAACTGGTGTGTAACTTATTTTCAAACTTTTTAACAAAAAGAGTTGACAATAATAGGTTTAATTTTCCGCCATTTTGTGCTTAAGCTCATGTTGCTAACCTCGAATAAGATACCACATGGCATGTCTAAAGCAGAATTTTATGCAGTTTCATCAGAATATAGTTTTCAAAATGTGAATGAGACATTAGCTTAAATATCACAAAAATGATTGGTGTATCCGAAAGTTTTGTATTCATTAAACAGATAATGAGAGAAGAAGAAATGGCAAGCCTCAGCGCCTTCCAGAGTTTTCCGCCATAGGAAGTGACGTAACTTGGAGTCACATGCTTTTTTTTTATTAGTGCTTTAAAGGTTGCATTTTCAACATCATAGATGTTGGCCAGAACAAAGGCACTGTTTAAATGACTGAAATTACAGATAATGTGGTAAATGGATTCTCTTTACAAATATTTTTTTAAAATTCATTCATTCATTTTCTTTTCGACTTGGTCCCTTTATTAATCAGCAGTCACCACAGCGGAATCAACCAGCACATGTTTTACACAGCGAATGCCAGCCGCAACCCAGCACTGGGAAATATTTATTTAACTTAGTAAAGTCAACACAAAAAAGATGAAAATATGGTATAAGAGGAGTAAGAAAGTATATTTTAAAAACAAAATGTCTCTAATACAAACAATAAATTTAGAGATTATTTAATATCATTTGTGTTTTTACTCAAAACTGTTTCATCATTTTTAAGGTTTATTGATGAGATGCAAAATGTACCCACAATTCTAAAATCACACATTGTTATTTATCAAAATTCTAAAAGATTTATCCCAATTATCCTTGCAGGAATCCCCATCTTAGAACTCTTTTGGCTGTTGGAGGATGGAACTTTGGTTCCACACAGTAAGTATTCTCTATAAACGTGATGAAGAGCTGTTGTATCTTGTGAAATGAAAATCCTAAAGATCTAAAACTCTACCTTAAATTCATCTCAGGTTCTCCATCATGGTGTCCAGTGCTGCAAACCGACAAACATTCATTCAGTCTTCCATCAAATTCTTGAGAACTTATGGATTCGATGGTATGGACTTGGACTGGGAATATCCTGGATCAAGAGGAAGTCCACCTGAAGACAAACAAAGATTCACTCTGCTGTGCAAGGTGGGTTTGATTACGACCAAAGGGTTGTTAAGCAAACATATTGGCACACTTTATTTAATCTCTTTTTATGTCTGTTTTCCTCTTTGTAGGAACTCCTTGAGGCCTATGAGGCTGAGGGCAAAGCCACTGGCAGACGCAGACTGATGCTGAGTGCTGCTGTATCTGCTGGCAAAGGCACTATTGATGATGGTTACGAGATTGCAGAGATTGCCAAGTAAGTAAGAGAACAATGAATCATAATATTTGTGAGCAGGCTTAGAAGGAAGTAGGACGAGATGTTTTAGACTCCTCCTGACTTTCTTGATCATTTGGTTCATTTCAGATACCTGGACTTCATCAACATCATGACTTACGACTTCCATGGAACTTGGGAGCGATTCACAGGACACAACAGCCCTCTGTACCAAGGCTCAAAGGATGAGGGAGACCTTGTCTACTTCAACACCGTAAGAACTGAAACACTATCATCATTTAGTCTGGGATTTTCACTCTCTCAAATGAATGCAAAAAAAAGGTCCTCCGTTTTAAAACAACTTTCGTCTTGGCTTAGGACTATGCTATGCGCTACTGGAGGGATAATGGCACCCCGGTGGAGAAACTCAGAATGGGCTTTGCTACATACGGTCGCACTTTCCGTCTGACATCTTCAGATACCAGCGTTGGAGCTCCAGCTAGTGGACCTGCTTCAGCTGGAACCTACACTCGCGAGGCTGGATTCTGGTCTTACTATGAGGTGAGAGATTGAGAACAGCCATTTTGTACAAAATGATGGAATATCTAAAAGAATATCTAATAACGCCTAATATGTCTGTAGATCTGTGGCTTCCTGGAGGGAACAACAGTCCAGTGGATTGATGACCAGAAGGTGCCCTATGCCACAAAGAACAGCGAGTGGGTTGGATTTGACACAAAGGAGAGTTATGAAACTAAGGTAATTCTGAGTCTTTACTGGATGTTACTGTGTTTCATTGTCACTGTTTGTCAGAAACTGATTATCACCTCTAAATTCAAAGGTCCGTTATCTGAAAGACAAGAAATTTGGTGGAGCTTTCGTGTGGGCACTTGATCTGGATGACTTTGCTGGACAGTTCTGTGGTCAGGGGAACCATCCTCTCATGGGACACCTGCGCAATCTTCTGGATATTGGTATGAATATTTACCAGTTGTCTTTTAAAGAGAGAAAGGGCTATTTATGAACATAATGTCATTTAGACTTTCACATCTTGTCTTGCTGCGTTTACCATACAAAAGCCATTCACACACAAAAAAAATGTTAGCCATACTCCTGAGAACTTGTTTACTATTTAGTAAAATCACTAAAACTATTTAGCAGAAATCCCATTAGCTTTAAAAAGTGCCCATTCTCACTTGTAATCTCTGTCAATGGAAAGAAACTTGAAAATACACTAAATACTGTTAGATGATGTCATATAAGCTGTATTCAGAAACAAGAAATGGTTTGTCCAAGGGTGTCACTAGAATTGTTTCTTGGTGATTTTATCTTTTTAAAATGGGACTTTGATGATTGCAAAGTGAAAAAGTTGGTCATTTGCCAACACTGGCAGGCAAAGGGTCCTTTGATTGGCCAATTGTTGAAAATGCCATTAACATGCAGCATTTAGTAAGTTGTTTTCTACAGAGATAAATGGCTCTGAATACAACCCACATAGCAAAATTTCTCTGGCCCAACTTGGCCCACACAATCAGGTTTTGCTTGACCCACATGTAGCAGTGGATTACGGTACAAGACTGGACCAAGTCTGGCTTCCAGACAGGGGCCTAACATAGACCATATCTGGGTCAAGTCACAGCCAAGTTAATAACTCATAACTGGTGCTGAACTGGGCCAGATAGATTGGTGTGTCGGAAATTGATAAACCCATGAAGCACTGCTCTTTAGGCACAGTATGGGCATGCTTTTTCTCAAAGAGACCTGATTGGTAGAATTTTTTCTTTACTCAAACATTATTTTAATGTATTTTAAATGTGGGTCAAGACAGGCCTTATGTAGCCCACATATACATTTTTAACATCTGAGCTTAACACTACATTTTCCATCTGACTCAAGTCTTGTGTGCCGCCATAAAGACGGTGCCACCTCTGCCATACCAGGGCCATATTTGGCCCACATGCTGTATGGTAGTGCTGGAAGAACGCCTGCTGTTCCAGCTTTATGCCAAATCTGGGCCAGAATTCTTTGCTACCAGGGAAATGATGGAGTTTATGAAATTTGTCTTGTTTGGTCTTCATTTTAATCACTAGGTGGCACCGCTCATTCCAAGCTGTTCAGGCATTCTGTAGTAAAAGTTAAAATTGCTCTAAATAAATATGGCACTGTTTGGTCACTAAGTGAGTCAAGAATTCTAAAAAGATCTGGCCAAATATTCAGAATGTTACAAGCATACTCACTCTATTTTAAGGTTTTTCAATCCAGTAGGTGGCAGTGTCACCAAACCTACCATCTGTAGACCTAAAGTTGTATTTGATAGGCTTTTGCCATTGTGTTTTAAAAATGGTATGCAATAGAAACCTTTCACGTGAAGGGGTTTCAGTAAAAAATCCCAAAACCAGAGTTTGACACCAAAACTCTTAAAAATTTGGATTTTTATTGGCATTAATGGTTGCATGAAGAATCATAGAACCCAATGGAACATATACAGCTTTCTTTTAAATCTTATCATCTTAGAAAATAAGTACAATTCACTGTAAGGTTATTTGGGAACCAAAAATATTTCCTCTGGTATCACTGTGAAATATCATTTTGGACCCTTTTTATAGTACAGCTAATACTAAATTAATGTTAATACTAAAATGCTAATATTTTTTTTCTCTTCAGAATTGCCTCCTCTGCCTCCCCCCACAACTGCCAAACCTGGCCAAAGCACCACAAGACCCACCACTACCACCACCACCACTACTCATGCTCCAGGGCCAGGATTCTGTAACGGGAAGCCCGATGGACTTTATGCTCACCCTGACCCCAACAAATATTACAGCTGCGCTGGAGGCCAGACATATGTGGATAATTGCGGAGCAGGCACTGAGTTTGATGAGAGCTGTAAGTGCTGTGGCTGGCCTAAACACTAAGTGATCACTGAAGGCATCTACATACAGTGAAATGGGACACTGCACATTTGAATAAGCACACACAAATGAATCTAAACATCTGCAACTACAGCTGTTTCATACAAAGGGAATTGCTGTAGACTGAACATAATTCTTTGTGCTTTATCTATCCACTTGAATGTATTTTAAAAGCATGCATTGCTTATTTTTTGTTGCTATTTTTTTAAAAATCTGTCAACGTGACTGGTGCTCAACAATGACTTCCCTTCAAAGCAAAAAACAAACAAAAAAAAAACTCATATGAATAAACAAACCTTGCAACCACCAACTGTGTTTCTGATTGCATTGTATTTTTTTTAACACAACACATGATGGTAAAAAAATTGTGGTCTGGTAACATGCCAGATTTAACAGCCCGGTATTATTTGGGGCTCTTAAAATGAGTTTTATAGATTTTGTAATGGAAAACCCAACAATAATAATTCAGATATTCATATGAGATACTTACAATTATAAATATTAGTTAGTTAAGTTTTTTTGTGGAAATTTTGTTTGCTATAATGATTAGGCTAAAATAATTATTTATTATAATAATTTTTAAGTTTAAACTTAAATAGAAGTTATAAATTTCTGATAGATATTTTGGTAACTTTTCATAACAGAAACAGCATGATCAGATTACATGTAGCTGTCACAAATTCATAATCATGTTAATTAAGTGAAATCACAAACAAAAATGGAAACACAAGATAACACTACTGTGAGAAATGATCTGGAGACAGCCTTCATTGTAGACCTTCTTCTCTTCCCCCTACCCCAGTATGCATACCGTACTGTATGTTTTTAATGGTGTATAAACATTGACAATTTAGTGAACTGTGAGCTGATGTTGAATAGTTTTAATTTTGTGATTCTATTTATTTAGGCCTATTTATTGATATAGTTTTTATGGTAAATTTAAGCAATCTTTAGGACATTTGTATTTTTAGAAGCCAACCAGGCAAATCACAAAAACTGTGATGATAGCTATTACTTTGTAACAGTAGCCTAAAAGTGTCTATAATAATATGACTGTGGAAATGTCCGCAAAAATTGCATTTTCAGAATCAATCTCAAAATATAGGTCATCTTTTATGTCATTCTTTAGCTTTTTTCAGATTTTTATTATGTGACAAAGTGAAAATACAGAATCACAGTACATCATAAAGAAAAGAAAAAAGAAAAAAAAGAAAAAAAAAGGAAAACAACAACAAAAGCAAAAAAAAAAAAACAGAAATGGGTATATACATCACATAAAAAAACATATAATTTCGAAATTTCAGTGGTTTTAAAATGCTTTTTTTGTAAAAGAGTTAGAAATAGTTTCAAAGTAATAAGTAAAATATAAAACAAGGTTTTTGGTTTGTATATTTAAAAACTTAAATAATAACAAAACCAAACAAAAAATTTCCCATAGTAAGGAAACGTCTTTATCAACATTCTCAATTACAAAAAGGGAAAAATCTTACCAAAGCAAATTAGAATAACTGCATCGCTAAAATTCAGTGTGTTGCCTACAAAAGGAACATTTAGTATCAATATGTTTTTTTGTTTAATGTAAGATGAATATGACTGTATTCATTGTACATATTCTATTTTTTTTTATCTTATTTGTAATTAAGTAGCTATTTGAGATGAGCCATATTTTTTCCAATCAATATCAGGAACAAAAGAATTCCAATAAAAAGTAATATTTGGAACTGATACAATTCCATAAAGAGCGTATGAATTTGTTCGAAGAATTTGCAGAGAAACAACATTTTCATACCATTGGAGTAGAAGGATCAAAGGGGGCAAAACAGAAGATGCGATGCCACTCGTTAGCTTTTGGAGCAAAAGTGAAAAACCCTAATCGCGTCATAGTATTTTTGACAGACATAATAACCAATCACAATTTATGTAAATGTAATCCCCGCCCACCCGCATCCGCGTTGTGTTAAAAGGTTCAAAAACATTTTAACGAGGACGCCAAAATGTTTTTTCTCTCTCTAATGAATGAACGTTAGAAGGTATGTTGAAAGAAACATTACAACATTACTTAAATCTTCCCAGACTCGTGTAATGACTGAGTTAATGTTACAATCACTGAAAGTAAATACCGCAGTAAAGTTAGTTTGACGTTTGACATTCGTTTAGCACAGTAAATTAGTAAACAATTAACGGTTAGACTACGTTAAGTCACGCGTTACATCCGCCATACAGTATTCAGTTATAAAAATTAATAATCTAGAGAGAATTCTTTTAGTGAATGTATGCACTAAATATTATTACGTGTTTATTTTAAATTGTATTTATCACTCTTGTAATTATTGAATAGTTTTGTAAAAAATACTGCATATTTTTTTGCCACGTAGCCTAATGTGTTTGTTTTAGCCGCAAATGTAACTACTAGCCTACTTAAAATGTCCTTCAGTTATACCAACTTTCCTTTTAATGTACAGTAGAAATAAACAACTCAATAGCTCACTTAAAAGATTAAAATACAAATTCCGATAAAATAAGCAAAATGGAAAGAAACAATATAAATCAATTCAGTCCCTTCATAAAACTCCCCACTAAACCTGCTAATATTGACTGCTGATATTGGGCTTTTAGTCATAAAACTATTTTCTAAATGGACTGAGTTGGACAGATGAGCATAAATTTGAAGTGATAGGCAGCCAGATTAAATTTATTGCCTCTTGCATCTTCTGTTGCTGTCCTGTTTATATGGAGACGTGCTATTTATCTTGTATCCAAGACCTTTGATAATGTACCTTGATTAAGGGATGATTTTATTGACAGCACATTTTGCATTTCTCTGTATCAGCCGACCCTACAATAGCTGTTGTTAAATTATATTGACCTGATAAATGCCATCATGCAAGGAAATGCAGCATTTGCAACAAAGTAAAATATATAAATAAATATTTTAATTTTTAAATTATATGTATATATTTAAAGCAGAAAATGATAGTATCTTATACGTCTGTGTCTTCTAGTTAGATATCTTTTGCTGTCTACAATATGAAATAAATGACTCTTTTGCACCAAAGTCATTGCAATTAATTCTCAAATTTTCAGTTTTATTCAAGTTAATTTGTGTAATTTTTTTTGCAATGCATACTGTTTCAGAGAAGCACCTTTTACCCAGAAAATACACAGTGTTTCAGTGTTACCATAAGGGAGTAATTCTGTTATTAGTCAGATGTGTGTGGCAAATTAGTTTTAGTGATTATTAAACATCATCTTCACTACTGGTTGCTTCACACTAAAAAAAATAATAAATCTTTCATCATTCTTATACTCATGTTGCTCCAAACCCACAAGACTCATCTTCTGAAAAAAATGAAGATATTTATAATTTTAAGACATTTCTGTCCCACCATTTAAATTTCACCCAAAATGCAGGTGCTTCAAAACATCTGTAAAGAGATCAAAAAGTAAGTTCTTAAAGAATCAAGACATTTAAATCAAGTCTTCTGGAGGGATACATAATCTAAACTCTTAATAGATGCTCAAATTCAGGCCTTTTGATTTTGCCTTTTGATGATATCCTTCCATTCAAAAAAACAGTCGGAAGAAGGTTCCGGATTATTAGAGCTCGCTCGGCTAGACTTTCTTTTTACAATCTGTTCGAGCCCTCATTTCCAATCACCTCACTCATCTCTGAAATCTTATCCACAATCCCTGCTCCAAAAACCAGGCACATTTGCACCAGACACTTTCTTACAATCATACCTTATCTCTATAAAAAAAACATTGAGCATATCTGAGTGTCCTTCAAACAGGTGAGTAGGCTTAACAAACCACCTGTAGAAACACTTTTCTCTTTATATGCACCAGACACGTTACTTAACCCTTGTGTATTGTTCAAGTGTACTACTGTTCCGTTATGTTAGTGGCTGCTTTTCCCCCATTAACTTAAATTATGATATTTTTTGATTGCAAAGCCATGACACTATATAATCATACATTCTTAGTTTTGGGCAATTTCCCTGTTGTTAGAGGTGCATTTTTTTTTGTTACTGTTGATTATTTATAAATGAAAATTCAAATCATTTTTCCAAAAATTTGTCACAATAAGATTTGTCACCTAAAATCATTCCATTTGCTGAAGCACAGATAGAGTTATTGCCAAATGAAGCCTCAAAGTCACCCCAGACAGCACACAAAGGGTTAAAACTCCATCTTACAAAGACTCAATAAGAAAAACAATGTTTCTTGTGACTGTACCACAAATCATGTTGCACTAATTATTTTCCTCAACCTTAAAATAACTCCAAGCAAGCATTATTATTTTTTGTTTTGTTTTTAAAAGATGTCTAATGGACATCTAATACACTTCTAAACATAGTTGTCTTGGCTAAAACAAGGCTAGATTTGAGCAGTCAGTGAAAATCTAATATATGTCTAAGAATAGGCCAAAACTAGACCAGTCATCAAATAAACAGAAATGAATGACTACAAATATAAAGTCTGTCTAATCTGTCTATTTGACAACTAGTCTAGTTTTGAGCTATTCTTAGATGTCTATTAGATTTTCACTGACAGCCCAAGTTTAGCCTTGTTTTAGCCAAGCTAAATGGACGTCTAATAGACATCTTTTAAACACAAAATTGTTTGCCGGGCTCTTTTGCACAATACTGTTCTTTATTATGGATAAGTACTTTTATAGTCTTAGGCTATGTGTAAAGTTAAATATTTCATTTAAGATTACCAGTCCAGTATGTTAGATACATGTATAGGTTTAAAATAGCTCCTACGTCCCTTGTTATGATCATAATTATGATTGTTTATTTATGTAACATTGTGGTCCGGCAAAACATGACATTTCAATCCACTGTATATGTTTACACTTGTAAATGAATGACGATAAAGCTGGACCTGACTTGATATGGAAGTCTACTAAACAAACTTTGAATGAATAAACTTTCAGTTAACGGGCAGTAATGTCTCAGATTTAGAAAAACCTTCAACAAAATTATTCAAGATTTTTTATTAGGGCAGCCCAATACTGGGAAATTATGCAATGACGTTGACTTTTGCAATAATAATATAACTTGCAATGTAACATTTCTCTAGACAAATGTTATATAGAGAAATCTATTCTTATTAGCTATTTTTATTGATCACACTAAAATAAACTGGAAATATATACTTTTCTGAAATTCAGAAATTTTCTAAAATACAAACAGTTTTTTTACAAATAGTTTATAAATGGTTACTGAAAACAAAGCTAAAATATACAGGATATATCATCAATAGTGTAAATCCAACATTTGGCATATTATTGTAAAGATTATTTAA